ACTATGCCCAAAGAGGTATCAAACCACACATACCCTTTGATCCAACAATACCACTACTTAGTCTTTATCCCAAAGAGATCCCAAAAAAGGGGAAAGGATCTACTTATATAAAAATATTTATAGCAGCTTTTTTTGTGGTGGATAGAATTGGAAATTGAGGGGAGGCCTATCAATTGGGGAATGGCTGAACAAGTTGTGGTATATGATTGCGATAGAATAATATTGTGCTATAAGAAATGACAAACAGCCATGTTGTGCGATGACTAATATTGATAAACTTAACCCTTCCGAGCAATACAAGGATCTAAGATATCTCCAAAGGCCTCGTGATGGAAAATGCTATCCACAATCAAAGAAAGAACTATGGAATTTGAATGCAGATTGAAGCATACTATTTGCTAGTTTTTTTTCTCTTCTGTTGAGTTTTGTTTCCTCTTTCTGGTGGTTCCTCTTATTGGTTCTAATTCTTACTTACAACATCACTAATGTGAAAATATGTTTAATAGGAATGTATATGTATAGCCTATATCAGATTGTGTGCCGCCTTGGGGAGGGTGGTGGGGAGGAAGGAGGAGAAAAATTTTAAACTCAAAAGCATATGGAAGTGATTGTTGATAAATCAAAATAAATTAATTTTAAAAATTAAAAAAAAAAAGAAATGACAAGCACGGGGCAGCTAGGTGGCACAGTGGATAGAGCACTAGCCCTGAATTCAGGAGGACCTGAGTTCCAATCCAGCCTCAAACACATAACACTTACTAGCTACGTGACCCTGGGCAAGTCACTTAACCCCATTGCCTAGCCCCCTCCCCCCCCAAAAAATTACAAGTACGATGATTTCAGAAAAATCTGGAAAGACTTACATGAACTCAAGTAAAGTGAAGTGAGCAGAACCAGGAGAACACAGTAGCAGCAATATTACTTGATGAACTGTGAATTACTTATCTATTCTCAGCAATGTAATGATCCAAGATAATCCCAAAGGTCCCATGATGAAACATGCTATCCGCCTCCAGAGAAAAAACTGATATTGTCTGAATACAGACTGAAGCATACTATTTTGGTGACAAAGTGGTAGAAAAGGAGGTGGAGCCATGCATAATTTATTGACTATCTGTAAGTATCCATTTACTTACTGATACTCTAAATGTGAGGTTTCTATCCAGGGAACAAGTTGATAGACTAAGGGAATTGAACTATATGAATTTTTTTTCCCATCTTGACCTGTGATTTCATCAATGTAGGGAAAATCCTTAATATGTATATCAGCAACTTAAAATCTTAAGAGCATTTTCTGGGGCTCTGAAATGTTAAATGACTTGCCCATGATCAGACATCAGGCCTTCCTGACTCCAAGAAACAGCTTCTATTCACTGTGCCATGCAGTCTTTGAGTAATGCCATTCCTTCTATTCTACCCTAATGCACAAATAAATTATACTGAAGTGGATGATTAGATTCACAGGTTAAGAGGCAAGAAGTTAGTTGAGTTCACTTTATTGTGCACCCACAAGAAGCAAGGAGCATCATTTCTTAGGACATTTGGTCACCTTACCTTGCAGTATTCATGATGAACATAGTGAAGAAAGCCCACCATGGAGATAATATCGTAGTTTATACACAAAAATCTATTTCAGAGGATTAGAAAAAACAAGAATTCTATAAAGAATTTGACAAAATTATCCAAACCAAATCACCATATACCTTAATATTTGATGACTGTCTACACAAGGCTTATCTTGATCTTCTCCTCTCCAATTGTAGATGAGACAATGACAACATGAATAAATGGGATAAGGTAGAAGCAAAAACAGAGCAGCCCTTTTGACGTAACTGACTCAATTTTAGAATTAGCCTTCATTTCAGTGTAAACTGAGTATATGCACTCCTTTGTGTTGTTTTTTTTTCTCCCTTACAGTTATTATTGCAACTGTTGTTTTCTTCTTATCACTGTGACCAATAAGTTACAAGGTGTTGCAAAATCATATCGGAGAACAGTGTATTCTGTTTTAAGGTCTCCTTGTAGAGAACATTATTACCTTCTGCTTGGTAAGTTTTTTCCACCATGACTATGCTTTTTCCTTTTCATTCTATACTATAAAAGGTGTTGCAAAATCATATTTGAGAACAGTGTGTTCTGTTTTAAGGCTCCTTGTAGAGAACATTATTACCTTCTGCTTGGTAAGTTTTTTCCACCATGACTATGCTTTTTCCTTTTCATTCTATACTATACAAACTAGTCCCAATGTGACATGTTCAGAATGGACTTAGCCAAGGTTTTTTTTTTTTTCTCTGAGCTAACTGACCTCTCCCTTCCATGATTTATAATAATTTAAATAAAATCTTCTTACTGATGTGGACCCCAATTAGTGGATCTTTTTAACATGGCAAACTTTTAGTGGGTCTTTTTAACATGACAAACAGCTTCAATGTCACAAACAAGGGGTTAAATGCAGGGAGTGGCATAAAAGATCTGAATAGAAGATGGACTAGTCATATAGCAAGAACAATTGATATAAGATGGGTAGCCCAATTGATACATTGATATAATAAAATAATAAACTGGCCTACTTATTCTCTACATATTCCATTCCATCTTCTGCCTTTGCCCATGCTGGGAATACTCTCTTTCCTCACCACTACAGCTTAGAATGCCTATTTTCTTTCAAAGAAGGACAGTTCAGGAAGGTAGAGTCAAAAGTCCAACACTTCCTGATCCCATTTGGGGTTTTCTTGGCAAAGACACTGAAGTGGTTTGCTATTTCCTTCTTTGTGGATAAATAAAGGGAGGCAGTGGCTTGCCCAATTTTTTCTTTTGCCAGGTTCTTTTTTTTAAATTTTAATTAATTAATTAATTTTTAGTTTTCAACATTCACTTCCATATGATTTTGAGTTTTAAATTTTCTCCCCCTCCCTTTCCTTCTCCCCTCTCCAAGATGGCATGCAATCTGATATAGGCTATACATATACATTCATATTAAACATCTTTTCACATTACTCATGTTGTAAAGAAGAATTAGAACTAATGGGAGAAACCACAAGAATGAAGAAACAAAACAAAAAGAGAGCAAATAGTATGCTTTGATCTGCATTCAGACTCCATAGTTCTTTCTCTGGATGTGGATAGCATTTTCCACCATGACTCTTTCGGCATTGTCTTAGATCCTTGCATTGCTGAGAAGAGCTAAGTCTATCAAAGTTAGCCTTTGCACAATGTTGCTGTTACTGTGTATAATGTTCTTCTGGTTCTGCTCATTGCACTCAGTATCAGTTCATATAAGTCTTTCCAGGTTTTTCTGAAATCGTCTTGCTAACCATTTCTTATAGCACAATAGTATTCCATTACATTCATATACCACAACTTGTTCAGCCATTCCCCAATTGATGGGCATTCCTTCATTTTCCAATTCTTGGCCACCATAAAAAGAGTTGCTATGAATATTTTTATACATGTGAATCCTTTTCCCATTTTTACAATCTCTTTGGGATACAGCCCTAGAACTGCTATTGCTGGGTCAAAGGGTATGCACAGTTTGATAGTCCTTTGGGTATAGTTCCAAATTGCTCTCCAGAATGGTTGGATCTGTTCACAATTCCACCAACAATGCATTAGTGTTCCAATTTCCCACATCTTCTTCAACATTTATCATTTTCCTATTTTGTCAAATTAGCCAATCTGCTAGATGTGATGTGATACCTCAGAGTTGTTTTAATTAGCATTTCTCTAATCAATAGTGATTTAGAGCATTTTTTCAAATGACTATAGATAGCTTTAATTTCTTCATCTGAAAACTGCCTGTCCATATCCTTTGACCATTTATCAGTAAGGGAATGACTTGTATTCTTATAAATTTGACTTTGTTCTCTATATATTGTAGAAATGGGGCCTTTATCAGAGACACTGGCTGTAAAAACTGTTTCCCAGCTTTCTGTTTCCCTTCTAATCTTGGTTGTGTTGCGGTCTGAGAGGTTGAGACCCCTCAAAGACCTGATTACTGGACAGGGTCGTCTGGAATGAATTCACAGACTCAAGCATTCTTTAAATCAAGGTGGCAAAGATTTATTCTTATGCTTTTCAGCAGGCAAGGATTCTTAAGGAACCTGCAAGAGACTGAGGATAGAGCTAGGGTTTATATGGAAAAGGGCATGGGAAAAGAATGCCAGGGACACTGATGAGGTAATCTAAAGGTGCAGGTGTCTTTGGGAGCTATGGATGAGAAAGTACAGGGAGTATACCTGACAGGGGGGGAGATAACAGAAGTGTGGATCTTTGAAGTCTGGCAGGAGGAAGAGTCCTTGGGCCAACCAAGGACAAAACTCCTTGGGCTGGGCAAGGCACCCCTCACTCTCTGTCTTGATGAGAGAATGCCCTGCAACAAGGGAAAGCTTTCTCACAAGACAGAAGCTTACTATGGAATTGGGAGGCTTCCAGAGACATGATCTGAGGGCCGGGGCCTGAACAGCCCAGCACTCTCTCCTCCAGCTTTGTGTAGCTGCACCAGGGAGAGAGATAAGGGTCGTGGGGGGGCCCACGCAGGAATAACTGCTAGGCACAGTGTCCTTGGGCTGGGGAGTGGTTATTAGAGACAGTGTTTCTGGGGCTAGAGAGAAATTGGGGTCCAAGTACAAGCACAAGCACCCAAACAAGCATCCAAGCACCTTATCAGTTGCGTTGGTTTTGTGCAAAACCTTTTTAATTTAATGTCATCAAAATCATCTGTTTTGCATTTCATAATGTTCTCTATCTCTTTTGGTCATAAATTCTTCCCTTCTCCACAAATCTGACAGGTAAACTATTCATTGCTCTCCTAGTTTCTTGCCCAGTGTTAGCAGTGAGTTAGTACAAGGACCAGAACCCAGCCCCAAGGGCTTGTCCCACCACCACAAGCCTCAGCTTCCAGCTTCCCAGACTCCTCTCCACCCCCCCCCCCCGCCACGTTCCCCGCCTCGGGGTGGGGCGGAACTTTGAGACGAAAGGGGGCGGGACTTCCAGGCCAGCATTCGAACTGCTTCCGCCAGGAGCCGGAAAACGTGGTCTGGGCCGCATTCTGGGCTAGTGGGGCAGGTGAGGCTCTGGCTGGCTGGTGGCGGCGCGGGAGCGCGCTCACGGCCGGAGGGAGTGGGGCAGGGGGAGGGCAGAAGGGGAGGGAGAGGGACGGTGCGCGCCCTCCGGGAGCAGGAGAGCCGCGGTGGGAGGGGCCCTTTCCCCTGAGCCGTCCTTCACCTGCCCCTGGGCGGGGGTCGGCCCCGCCTCCGCCACGGGCTCTCCCTGACCCCGCCCCTGCTCCTCTAGCTTGGCAGGGGCCTCCTTTGCAGTAAAACTTGGAGGGGAGGCGCTACGTCTGTTGCTAGCGTAGGGCTCTGCCCATCTCTAATGCGAGCTCCGTGTTTCTAAATTCATTATTGCTCTTGATAGGTGAGGACTTTGGGCTCCTTGAGACCTGCCCCGAGCCCACTGCAACCAGACCTCACCCGGGGCTTGGGAAACCTGGTGACCCCCAGGGATCAGCCTTGGTGACCCTGTGGAATAAGAGGGGAAAAGCGAGACACGGTCCCCGCCCTCAGGGAGCATCAAGACATGGCATGACCTGTTCTTGATGAAGACATCCTGACTGTAATCTCTGCTTCCCTTTCTAGATGTTAACCAACACTCTCTTTAATAATCCATGGTAGAATTTTTCCTGGGGTTGAAGGCAAATTCATTGGACTCTAGTTTGCAGACCCTATTGTCTTTCCTTTTTTTTTTGAAAGTCAGGGCATTTTCCCTTCTCCAGTTTTGTGGTACCTCTCCCATTTTGCATGACTTAAGGAAAAAAAAATACTGAAAGTGGCTCGAGTAAAATCTGCCAGTTATTTCAGTATCTGAGGGGTAATGGGAAAGGAACAAGCATATATTAAGCTCCTGTCATGTGCCAAGCACTATGCTAAGCACTTTATATATCTCATTGATCCTCACAAAACCCTGGGAGGTAGGTGCTATTATTATACCCATTTTATGATCCAGGAAACTGAGGCAGAGGTTCAGTGACTTGTCCAGGGTCAAACAGCTAGTAAGTGTCTAAGGCTGGATTGAAACTCAGGTCTTCCTTACTTCAGGCACCGAGCTCTATCCATCACTACTTCTTGTTTCCCTTGCCTTCAGGAAGGAAAATATAACCTGTGCCCCTCTGGTCTGTAGTTTCATGGCTAAGACTTGGTAATAGTTGGCTATACCTTCTTTTTGGTATCACATGGATTAGCAGAAATGAATCATTGTCATTTATTTTTATCTTTGGGGGTGGGGGAAAGAGCAGGAGGGCAGTATTTCACTGTCACATATTGGATTTGTTGTTCTGTTGTCTTTCAGTGTGTCTAACTCATTGTCACCCATTTGGGGTTTACTTGGCAAAGATACTGGAGTGGTTTGCCATTTCCTCCTCCAGCTCATTTTACAGATGAGGAAACTGAGACAAACAGCATTAAGTGACTTGCCCAGGGTCACACAGCTAGTAAGTGTCTGAGGCCAGATCTGAATTCAAGAAGATGAGTCTTCCTGATTCCAGGCCCTTCTGCTCTATCTAGTGTACTACCTATTGACCTTTGTATGGAAATCAGGCCAAGAAACGTCTGCATCAGTACTCTGAGCAAGAACTTACCAACTTTCTTTTTCTTACCTTCCTTAGATGCTTGTTGGATGGATCTCTGATCTTAGAGCTTCTGTGGCTCAACCGCAGAGTATCAGTCGAAATTGCAGCCCACAACAACCAGTGCAGCCTGACCCAGATTAAAATGTAATTGGGAAATGTCTAATAAAATAAATAGAAATGCAGTGGAACATAGATAATGTTAATATGGGGTGTTCTGAGTCAATATATATCCTGCAGGGACCCTTATATATGGTTTTAATGGTCCCCATTTCTATTTGAATTTGACACCACTGCTATACTGTATTGCTGTTTGGTGGACAAGTAGCCCCTTCTTCCTTAAAGAATGCTGATCCCTCCTCTGCAAGAAGAACTTAAATAGATATTTAAGCTATGAGGATATAGCTGTCCTCTTTCTTCCTTTTCTCCTCTGTGTAACTCTTCTCTGCTCTCCAGCATCCCCATAACAGGAAGGCTGTCTACTTACCCCCTTTTCCATTGAAGCCTTGTTCCTGTTTCCTGTAGGAACATTTTATTCTCCCTCTTAGCTGGGAGGGTGGACAGGTGTTCTTGGAGTCCCTTCACCTTCTCCTCCAAGAAGGTAAATTAGCCTGTACTTAGAACCCAGTAACAGTCATGGGGTTATGACAGAAAAACAACAGTCCCACACTGGATGCAAATCATTAAGGAATTTCCCTGCTCTCCCTTCCGGTTGAGATAGCCTAGTTTTCTTAAACTACTTGTGGATATTTACACTTCAACACTCATCATTTGGCTAAAATCTTTGCAGTTAATCATCTCCTCTTATGACAATCCTGCCCGCTTCCTTTCCTTAGCCTCAAAGACAACTCCACAGACACATCTTCACCATGACCCCAGCCTCCTAGGTGTTGGACTTATTTGTCCCAACCACCAATTTATTCTGTTAATTTACTCTGTAATTGTTCATTTGTTGTACCTTTTAGTTTACCTTGTCTAGTATGGCCAACTTCCATTTTTTTGCTGTCCCTTAATTCTTGGGCTCAAAGATCACCGTAGCTATGAAATTAAAAGATATTTGCTCCTTGGAAGGAAAGTATGGCAAATCTGGACAGCATACTATAAAGCAGAGATATCACCGTGTTGACAGAGGTCCATATAGTCAAAGCTACGGTTTTTCCAGTAGCAATGTATGGCTGTGAAAACCCCACAGAAGCGATGCTTTTGAATTGTGGTGCTGGAGAAGACTTTTGTAGGAGTGAACTTTGTTTTTCCTTTTGGTGAGACAATTGGAAGTTAAGTGACTTGCCCAGGGTCACACAGCTAATAAGTGTCAAGTGTCTGAGGCCGGATTTGAACTCAGGTCCTCCTGACTCCAAGGCCAGATCTCTATTCATTGTGCCACCTAGCTGCCCCCTGGAGAAGACTTTTGTGAGTCCTTTGGATAGCAAGGACATAAAGTCAGTCAATACTTAAGGAAATTAATTCAGGCTATTCACTGGAAAGTCAGATATTGAAGCTGAAGCTTAAATACTTTGGCTACATAATGACTCATTGGAAAAGACCCTGATGTTGGGAAAGATTGAAGGCAAAAGGAAAAGGGGACAGCAGGGAATGAGATAGATGTCATGGAAACAATGAACATGAACTTGGACAGACTTCAAGAGATAGTGGAGGATAGAAGGGCCAGGTGCGCTATGGTCCATGGGGTCATGAAGAGTCAGACAAGACTAAATGATTGAATAACAACAATTCTCCTTGATCCTCTTTAACCCTTTTATTTTCTTTTTAATTATCCTTGCTCAAGTTCTTTCAAAACCAGAAGAACTCAAATTCAGCCTCTAACCTACTTAAGAAACCCAGCCCCCTCCAAATTGCCCCTGTGATTTCCTTCTTATTTTGACCCAATGGGATAGGATATGACACCTGGAGGCAGGAAAACCAGAGTTCAAGTCCAACCTTAACTACCTCTGTGACCATAGGCAAGTCACTTAACCGCTCTGTTGTCTAAGTTTACTCATCTGCAAAATTATGGTAATAATTGCACTGACCTCCCAAGGTTGTTGTGAAGATAAAATGAGATAATATTTCTAAAGCACTTTGCAAACCTGGAAGTGCTATATAAATTCTAACTAAATTTACTCACGTCCTCTTTTCTCACACATCCTTCTTCCATACAAGCTGAAAATAGACCTGTTCACATAAAGTTTATCATGGTATCTGGGAAAGAGTCTTGTATTCAAAAACAGAAAATCTGACTTTAAGTCCCAGTTGTGTGACCATTTAAAATCTTTGAACCTCAGTTTCTTATCTTTAAATGGGAATAATAATATTATCAGAACTAACAGAAATGTTGAAGAAAGTACTTTGTAAATTTTTAAATTCCATGGAAGTCTAAACTAATGGGGGGGAGGAGAATCAGGAGGGAGAGAAAAATTGATGCTTGATAAATATAAAAAGTAAAATAAAATAGAAGTTTAAAAAAGTATAAACTGTTACAAAGCTTTCTAGATGATTAAGAAAAATCACCTGAGGATATGAATAATATCTTGTCCCAACGACTTTTTTTGAAACCCACCTACTCCTCCCCTTTAGACTCAGGGAATTTATCCTTGATTGATTTTGATGGCAGATAGGTCTCAAACCATGAACTCATTCTGGTAATAAATGGATTATAAGATTTTTACATTTGTATATAATATTGTGATATAATATTAGATCATTTATGTGATCTAAGTCTTAGAGGGTTGTCTAGAACAATGAGAGGTTACGTGACTTGTCCTAGGTCACATATCCAGTTTGTGTCAGAGGCGAAACTTGACTCCAGATCTTCCTTACTCCAAGACCAGAACACTATCTGTTCTGTCACACTGTCCCAAGGTACTTTGTAAGACTGTAAGTGACAGAGGAGTTTCTGATCTGTATCCATATGAGAAGGTTATTCATCAGGAATTCTGTTCACTTTGAACTGCCAACTTAAAACTGTTCTTAACATTCTCTCTGCAACAAACAGAGAAATTCAGATGAAGCAAATAAAAGTTTCTACTTTATACTTTTCAGGTTGGCAGAGATAACAAAAAATGAAAACATTTGTTAGCAGGAATTTGTGAGGACAGATCCACTAATACCCAGTTGGTTGAGTTGTGAATTGAAAGTATGCCCCAAAAGTCACCAAGTTGTATATATTCTTTGACCCAATGATACCACTTTTCTACCTATACCCCAAAAGATCATATAGAAATATTTATAACATTCTCTGTATTATAGCAAAGACTGGAAGCTAAGGGGCTACCCATCAATTGAGGAATGGCTGAATAAATTATGGTGAATAAATGTAATGGAATATTAGTGCATTGTAAGATGTGATCAAAAGGACAGTTTCAGGGACAACTAGGTGGCACAGTGCATAGAGCTCCAGCCTTGGAGTCAGGAGGACTTGAGTTCAAATCTGGTCTCAGAAACT